GTAAACCCTCTGTATTTACTAGTGTGAAGTCTCCTCTTGATTGTTGACTCTGAAAAAGAGTTGCAACCTCCTAGAGGATGATCTTGATCTGGTAACTGTTGCAATGAGATTTTTCTTCACCAGGGACAGAATTCTTGCATCATCCACTACAGTTGATATCAACAGTTTTCCAGGCCTTTTGATGTTCCTGAGCTCACTACTGTGCACCTTCTTTTTAAGAATGTACCAAATAGTGTATTTGGCCACAATTATTGTTTTGACATGTTTTCTGATGGGTTTGTTTACACTCTCAGGCTTGTGACAGCCTGCTTCACATCAAATTGAGAGTCAACCATCTGGAGGTAAATATCCTCGAAATAAAGCTAAATTTTGGACATTGAGTCAATTATTTAATTTCTACTACAATATATGTGTTGGACAACTAAAACAATGACATTGTCAATGTCTAAATATATATGGACCTGACTGAGCATATAGGCTTTGTTTTTTATAAATTAGCACTTGAACTGGTAAATAATTCTACATGTCCTTTAAGACCTTTAATGAAGTCAATGTTAAGGACTGCTGATCCATTCTTTTTAGGCTGGTGGACGAGAGTGTGCAAAGTAATCGACATTGTGCTCCGCATACTTGCAGCACGCTGTTCAAGAATCTGACCTAGTTTATAACCACTTCTCCTCTCCATAGCCTGAATTTGGAAAGGTTGTTTGTTCATTGAGAATCCTGCATGGCTCCAGGAATCATTTAGGGGGGTGTGGGGAAAAAAGACAGAGAGAAAGACTCTGTTTTTCTTCTGAAAACCGCTAGCTCTGCAGCTCTAGTCTCCCGCAGGTCAGCCCAGTTCATGTCTGGTTTCTATTAGCAATCCCCAGCTGACTGTATGTGCATGAAACAATGCATTAACTCGCTATTGGACCGGCCCGGCCCAATACAGCACAGTCGTCATCATCAGAGTTTTGTATCGCTAAGGGACACATTCTAAGTGTCACACCTCACAGCGCAATCCTGAGCACCAGCCAAAGGCCTAGGCGTCACCCACTTCTCCTTGATTGCAAACGATGAATATGAATCCTTTTCCTGGGTGCCAGTGAGTGCGCAGACTGGGGCAGTGATTCAGTGTTGTAGCTGCACTTCGCTCACTCCTCTGTTGTGCTGCAGAAGCATAGAATAAACTGTGTCCCTGTTCTGGTGATCTCCATATTGATTTTGAATGCATTGACCACAAAATAAGGAAAGCATGAATTGCATAGATCAATTTTGTCATTGGATGCTGCCAAATAGCATGCCGTTACAGTAGGGGAAGTCTGTACTGGCCGCAGACCCAGATTTCCTTTCTTGTGGAACCAGAACATCAAGCTAAACCCAGCGCTCAAACTTAAATTTAATTGACCGGATCCAGGTAATGCTCCAGTTGTGTGTGGCCATCCTTTTCTCAAACAGTGCCTGCAAGTGATCTTTTCATTATTATTTTCTTACAAACCCTCCAGATTCATGTCAGTAACATTTGAAGAATACTAAGTGCTTTCACTGTTAGCCTAATGGTTCGAAGAGACAAGGAAGCAAGACAGCCCACGTTATGTTCTATGTATTGAGGTCTGTCATTTGTGATATTGCCCAAAACGGATATAACCACACAGCTAAGGGGACCTGGCAGCGAATAAAAAAAATTACATACACAATTAAGAAAAGAAAATTGTTGGCATATGGTTTTTCCTTTTTTCAGTGAAGCAAGTCACAGGGCAAGTTATCAATCATACTGTCAGTATGGTCTTTAGAAAAAGAACCCTGATTTTCTCCTTTTGTAAGGGATAAACTAGAATGGCACTCTAGAGGGGGCTTAATAAAATGGCTCTCTGTTCCAGCCAAAGACAAATTCAATTATGCCTCACAAAGTTACCTCACTGATCGGCATGGTCACTGCACTTACTACAGTGTTTCAAAACATTACACTACCAGAGAGCAAACTCTGCACTGTTCCCATTTCAGACAAGGCACTCATCCCTATACTGTAACTGGGAAACGCATCCAGGGATATGCATAAACCAAGCACAAAAACATCCGCTGAAAAAGCAGTCCTTCCTGTGTCATATTAGCATATGTGGTTACTTGAAGCCACAGTCCGGTCTGCTTGGCTAACCACTACAGCACCATATGTCTCACAGTAGTGTCCTTTCACCTAATACACACACACACACACACACACACACATAGACAGGGAGTGTAAAATACAAATCTATTGCCCAGGTCTGTGGAAAAATGTGCTGTGCGGGGAGGTTTATTTATACATGAGTTTTTGGGACAATCAACTGTTGGTTATATTTCTTATGCATATATTTAGAGTACTTGCAGATTATTTAAAAGTATTAACAAGGCTTAAGTTCAGAGATCTCAAATAAAAAATCTTGAATTCCACAAACATCTTAAATATGCTGCAGGACTGTCAGGAGGAGAACACAATGCTGGCCGCCAGTGGAATGAACTTTGTGCAACACTGTCATGCAATCAATCCAAAGGAAATGGTTTCCATGACAGCACATTATGGTTTAAGAACTATTCCTCCAAAAGTTTAATGTAAGCAACCCATGTCAACAGACACAAACTAGGCAAAAATAATAGAAAAGCATAACTGTTCTGGTAATTCCGCGAGAGGGTGATTTCAATGGTGCCTATCAGGCAGCAGGGTAGACACCATTCTTTGCCACACCTTGCTGATAACACAATGCAGAATTAAAAAACACAGTAACACACAGCAAACTATCTGCAACACATAACAGTGAGACTCAATGATGATAGAAAATTAAAAGTTTACTTATTCTACCAGATACACAGGCAACACAATCATAGAAACTCCCTAAAAGCAATGTTCACAGTCTTGACCCTGTAAACCAATAACCCAGAAACAACTAAAACAATATTATACCGCTGGTCTGCGGGATATTCAATTGTGATTGCTTAAAGGAAGTTCTTGGGGTGTACATTATTTTCCCGTTACTGCACACCTACGAATAGCTACAAACATGATAGCTTTATGACAACTTTTATCAATTTGCCATCTTTGAAATCCAAGCTATATTTAAATGACACTTTGAGTCACAGAGTCACAAACACTGGAAGTGAAGGATAAAATGGATACAAACAATATGTTCAAGTTTTCTGACAACAATTAATATCTTTGGTGAGTAATGTGAATATGACAAATTGGAGAGAGCAAAATGCGATGCGATGCAAATGAGCACAATTTTTGGATGAAAACACAAAATTTATGTTGTTAACTAGGCATATGGTAACCGCAACATAAACGCAGTATACAACTCAATGACAGTTATTGCATAAAAATAATTGCACACTTGAGGGGTGAACGGCCCTTAACAGTGGGATAAGTAGTCAACATTATGACATTAATTGTATTGGTATTGGATATTATTTGTAAATTATTTTAGAATTCCTAATTGCAAATTATCTCTCAAATCTTCCCTAAACAGACACACATTTAGCAAGCAAAAAATAGAAAACTTACACAGAATAGTTGTTGGGTGCACCATTTTAGAAATGATAACTTTATGCTCAGAAAAACCAGTTACACTATCAGCTCACCAGGGATTGCTGCACACCTTCAGGACCCCTAGTTCCCAAAGTTTTGCAAAGCCCTTGGAAAACAAAGTGAGAATATAACCACTATTTTGAAAAAGGTATACTGCTTGACAACATTTCAGGAAATGTATGAGACAAAATTTAACTTGGTTGCTTCTCAACTGAAGCGCAGCTTACAGGATATGCATTACACAGAGCGTGACGATCTGAGTCATTATCTTTATCCTCTGCAGCAATCTTAACAGGAGATGACAGAGGACAATGTACAGAGTCTGGGCTCTTGGACTCAGCATTGGCTGAGATAGGCTCTTACAGTGATAGTTGGATTCCGTCAGGCAATTCCAGGCTCCAGATGTTTATAACAGACAGCTGTGAAGAGGCTATTGCGCAGCGGAGGGATATTCAAAATCGGAACTAGCATAACAGATGTGCAGCCAGTGTGGATGTTTGGGAGTTTATAAGCCTTGATGACGCAGTGGATTCCTAGATTTTTGACTGTTGCAGGTTTAGAGGATAGAAGAAAATTCACTGTTTCATCAGACCCTGTATTGTCTAATAAATTCCGAGTCCTTATCAAGGAGCTGACCGAATCTTTCGTCTGAAAGCACTGCAAACAACCAGTAACACCCGCCTGAAAATGGCTTTGCTGTACCTTGATTGGTGAGTACCACTTGCGAGGTCCCAGTGGTTTGCGCATGCCATTGTTGAGGGTCCGAGATGGCGGCAGCTCAAATTCCTGTTCAGGCATCTTTACCCGCGCATTTTTGGCCTTCTCCAGTTTTGCACCTTCCTCAGTGGATCCCTTTTCTCCCCAACGAACCTGGAGCCAATACACATGCACTCTTACTGATGTCTTCTGACTTTTACTGAATCAATTCTGGTGGGTCCATATATCGGTGGGTTGATGCGTCTTAAAATCAACTAAAATTTAGAAGATGATAAAAACAGATTCCTTATAGATGCCAATGTAAACACCATTCTGCAGCTCAATGTAAAATTCAGGCTGTAATGTAGCCGCAGAGAAGTGAATAAAGAAAGGACAAAGCTATTTATAGTAGGTCATTTCTGTGTGATGGCAGACAAAGTTGGGATGAATGGTTTTTATCAATACTGAATAAACGCATTGTACAGGCAAGCACTGATAAGATAAGATAAGATAAGATAAGATACGCTTTATTGAACCCCGTGGGGGTAATTTGTCCTCTGCATTTGACCCATCCTATAGTTAGGAGCAGTGGGCAGCCACAGAACAGTGCCCGGGGACCAACTCCAGTTCTAAAGCCAGCTCCTTGGTCAGGGGTACTGGTAGGAGTGTTCCTATGATGCATGTTTTTGTGGGTGGGGGAAACCGGAGTACGCGGAGAAAACCCACGTGAACACGGGGAGAACATGCAAACTCCACACAGAAAGGCCCCAGGCCGGAATTGAACCCACGACCTTCCTGCTGAGAGGCAACAGTGCTAACCACTATGCCACCGTGCTGCACCATCTAAAAGCCACACAGCATTGGGCCCTTGGTTGGTCAGGTATGGCTGTGCATGTAATGGAAGGTGAAGTATAGCAGTAGCAAGTAGGAAAGGACTGCTGTGACTGAATACTGAGGAGCACATAATTGTAGTTGAAGTATTTGCTTTCACTTTTACCTCCATTCTTTTGATTCCTCCCACCCCTCTGCCCCCATAATAGGAAGCATCCACCGTGGGCCACTTCTTTTTCGGATACGCATCGTCTTCTTCATCCTACAGAGGTGAGAAAGATAGAGAAACAGATAGAGAGAGAGAGAAAGAACAAGGGGAGAGAGAGAGAGAAAGCCAGAAAGTACAAATGAGAGAGAGAGAGAGAGAGAGAGAGAGAGAGTGTGTAAGTGGGAGAGAGAGAAAAACAACCTGTCAGTAAGAACTCTGTATATTATCCCTGTGGACACAAGTCACTGTCACTTCAGGCTTCATGAGTTGATATGACTGCTCTAGCCCACTCATTACACTCAGCCATGGAGACTCATTATATCTGCACTCCCCAGTCTTGTCTCTTACAATTGCCTCAAAGTCTTTGTAACAATGCCCACCCTGGTATGACTTCATTCTTCCATCATAAAATTAAGCCCCAGCTCCCCACACACCGCTAATGACCAATGTCAAGTCTCGAGATTCGAGTGAACCAATCAAATCCCCATCTCCTCCTCAGATTTCAGTCTTTACTTTTCCTTCTCTGCATTCTGGAGCTGATCCTCACCACAGTGGCACAATAGAGTTGAGCCATTTCACCTGGCAGCTGACAAATTTACCATCAGCAATAGAGTCTTAAAGTTGGTCCAAGGCCCTTGCTGAGTGGCTAAGTCCCAGCTTGTGAAATTGAGTAGAGCCAGGGATACGAGTCTCAGCTACAGCAGGCTTCTGCTTGAGTTCACACCAGTTAAATCAAGCAGACACTCCTGCAGTGAAGTTACTTCAGAAGTCCTGTATGCTCTCAGATGGCCACAAGTCACACAGGCTATAATGCATTGCTTTGTGTTATTTCTCTGGGAGAATGTCATAGTCATTATGGCTCTACCTCCCCTGGCTGCTCTTTTATTTTTTTCAGTGTAACTTGAGTCAGGGAGGAGCAGAAACCAAACGAGACAAATACTCCAGCACATGAGAGGTTTTAGGGCCTTACCCAACAACAATAATTGCTGTTGTCATGCTTGGAGCTGTGGCAAAAATAAAGAAAAATATTCAATATCCATATAATGTAGGCAGTCTATTCAACTAATTTCTTTCCTTGTTGTTGTTGCTGTCCAGAGCAGAGTGTGAAATATTGGTCCTTTAATTGGATCAGTTCCTCTGGCAGGCCGTAAATTCTCAGTGGCCCATTGAAAACCAGGGTGGCAATTTCACAACAGATGGTTCTGCAAGTGATCATAATAAGAACCATTTGTAAACTTTGAGAAAATGGGTCCTCACTCCTCACTGAATATTTCTACACAGAGTTAAATCCTGTGCTTTGCACGCATTCCTTCATTACTCTCTTCCAAGTATTTACCAATCCTGGTGCTTGACAATGAATTCCAGACTTCACCTGGATAACTAAAATGTATTTCCCTCTCCCTGACCAGGCTTTTTCACCCAGCCTCATTAGAATATTAAATAGTTAACAAGAAGTTCAACAAGATAAAAAAAGGCAGTTCAGACCACAAAGGCTCATCACCCATCAACTACTGTAGGCCAACTCTGAAGTCTTTTCTTGAATTTTTCAAGAGTGCTTTAATTTGCCATAATAAGCCACAATTCAACAACTATCCCTGTTAAAACATTCATGTGTAAGTGTGAAATTCACCTTCAGCATTTTGCTCATGGGCAAAATCTAACTGAATTCAACATAAAAAAAAAATTGTTAATAAGCACAATGAAGTTCAAAGATCAGGGATTTTAAACCTTATCTCAGTGGTTCCCAACCCAGTCCTCAAGGACCCCCCTGCCCTGCAGGTTTTTGCTCCAGCTCTATTCTTTCACACCTGATCCATTTAAGGGCTTCATGCTGATTGGTTGAAAAAGATCTACCTGAACAGGGTGTGCATGAAGGTGCATTGGGCATTAAATGGATAAGGTGTGCAAAAGTAAAGCTGCAACAAAACCTGCAGGACAGGGGGTCCTTGAGGACTGGGTTGGGAATCACTGCCTTATCTCAAAATGGTTGGCATGGGAGCAGACTTTCCCTCCAGTTTTGCAGTTTGACAATGAATTCTACTTATCAACCCCTAGTCTTAGTTGAGACCTTGATTACAGGTGAAACAGGTGTGTAACTTCTGTGCAGGAATGAAAGTTTGCACCTACACAAGGCCTTTCCAGATAAGGTTGAGAACTCCTGCCCTCAATATCCATCAGTGTCAAAATATCAAAATTGAGGCTTTACAATAGCCTAAAGTGTGAGAAAACTCTCACTCAAAAGTTTTGTGCTTGTAATTGAGTTTCATATCGTCTTGAGATTAAAATGAAATGGGAGGAGTTCTCTTCAGCATCTGGTGTAAGGTGGGGGAGAGGAGTGATTCAAGACTAAATCCAATCCTGCCCTGTTTGTTACCAATTCAGACTGTTGATTGTCAGAACTAAGAACGTAGGGAGACATTCCTCGATGTTTTGGCATTTCCTGTTTTTAAGAAAAAGCTGGAGAAAAGGAGAGAGTAACGTGTAAAGAGGATAAAAACAAAAGGGAGGGGGGTCGGGAGGAGCATGTGGAAGTACTTTGTGATCATTTACCAATTCAATACCTCTCTTCGATTTCAGAGAACCTCTGTCATTAAGAAAGGTTTGTTCACTTTGGAACTTGTTTATATGCTAAGTGAAATAATGAGATGAAAGTCACACTTATATTGACATATGTCATTATTGCACAGTCTTTTTAATTGTGTGGCAGCAGTAAGTAAGTAAAGTCAGGGTCTTTGAGCTTTGTGAATGCCAGTAAATGAGCTGACATCTTATAATGACACCTGTGAATCGGCCACAGTAAAAAAAGTTCTAGATGATGGAAATTGGGGAACTATTGAGCAAGCATTGGACAGGCTTACTCTGTATAACATACAGTAAGCATCAGTCAGCCATTTTAAATTTCTGCAGAGCACCTTTGTCCTATGCATGATTCATTAAATTAGAGAACTTTAGGTTCCTGCCTGTTTTTTAGAGGAAAAAGAGTTTGAGATAGGTGGAGTGCTAGTTTTCTTCAGAGCCCCGGTTTAGCTTTTTTATCAAACAATTCAGTCAACTGACTGCAAAAACAACACGCTGGGCCGACATTCCACAGATCTTGAAAACAGATACAACATGTCCCTTACCGAGCTGTCGTGAACAACTGGAGGAGGGGGCTCGTGGATGATCTGAGGAGGGGATAGAGAGAAAGAGAAATCATACTTCATAACAAACATGTCAGAGCACATGATCTCCTCCGGAGTACAATCCCACCTAACTTTTGTTTTTTTAACTAGCGTGTCAGAGAGCCAAAGAAATGATTTCAGTGTGTGCCAAAAAAGCTTCGTAACATGAAAACACATGACTGTGGAATTGCTTTTCTTCTTTCCTTCTTTGCCGTTATTTACAATGAAGTTTGACTGACCTAGAAAGCTGCTGTCCATCTGGCCCTTTTCCTAAACTAGAATCTGGGTGGGGGTGGGGGTTAGGCGGGTGCTGATGGTAGGGGGCAGGGGGGTGTGGGCCAATGAGACGACAGCACGAGGTGCCGCTGGAGAATAGTCATGTGCTTGCTAACCAGATATCCTCCATTGTTTTTGTTATTGTAAGGTATGCAGAGTTCAGGGTTGACATGCTTCTAAGCCACTAAGTCCCTGAACTTTTAAGAAAGTCTCTATCTCTCACAGCCAACATTACGAAGACATTCCACTGGAATACAGCATATGGTACACATCCAAAACTCACATGGTCATTAATGAGCATGCTATTAGGCTTTCATAGAGTAAGAACTCAATCGAAACTATATTTATTACCCCTTTGGTGCCAGAACTTTTAAACATCATGTTGGTTATACTTAAATCAGTAGCGGTCTGTGAGCAGAAACAAAGGCCTTTAGTAACCTCACCTTTCAGCATTTAATCACCTCATCCTCATGCAGTTTAACTTGCCCGATAAGCTACAGTTGCAAAGACAGATTGATAGAAAGACTTTCAAATTTATTTTCGATAGCATTAGGCTATTGTACGTTACATCAGAAGGCTATAAATGTAACGAGAACATCATTTTGTTTTCAAATACTCTAAACTCTTGTACCTCATTAAATGGCAAAAATTTGCATAAATTAGTTTGCGAGGCTTATCAAGCTATAAGGCATGGGAGAATGTACTGTATTGCAGACTTAGTCACCTGTAAAGGGCATTGTTAGGCATGATGCGAAGTGGAGCAGCATTGTAGAGATGGCAGTGATACAATTTAGTGCAAAAAATAAGAATCTTTCACTGACTTCCATCTCTCCTTTTATGATTTTTTTTTCACACTGCTGGAAAAAATGGCGAAACTAGAGATAGAAGTCCATGAGAATTTAGGATTTTTGCATTTATATGGATTATGGGCATCCTTATAATGCCATATCAATTATAGAAATGTAGCTGATAGGTTATTGTTTTGTCATTGGCCATACTAAGTAATTAAAAGCATGAATTGGTCATAATAATTCAGTAAATAAATTGGCAAAATTTAACAGGAACAGCTTGAGAACAGTCAAGCCGTGAAAAGATGAGATTACTGAAGGCCAAGCTACATTTGTTTGAATTGGCAATGATAAAAACAGTGGCAGGCAGCAAAGGGTTAAAGCAGTATGATCAAGGAATTTGAGATTCAATGTTTTCCCACTAGCGTGAAGTAGCGTATGCATCAGTTAAAGAGGTGTGGATGTTTTGAGGAAATTAATTCCATACAGCATTAATTTGTGACAAGAACTGTGTCAAACACAGAATTTAGCGCCACCCTCAAAGGGTGCCTGCGATGCAAACAAATACTGCAAT